ATAATGCTCTTTGTTTTGAAGTTGTCTTAATTTGAGATTAGTATAGTTGTTCCAGCCCTCCTATGCTTACCATTTGCATAGTATATCTTTTTTTTCCATCCATTTACTTTCAGCTTGTCTGTATCTTTACATTTAACGTATCTCTTGCAGACAACTTACATAGCTGGATCTTGCTTTTCTGGCATTCTGACAATTTCTGAATTTTAATTGGAATGTTTAGTCCTTTAACATTTGATATAAATTATTGATATGGCTATATTTAGGTCTGCTGTTGTACTATTTTGTTTGTTCCCTTTCTTTTCTGGCTCTGTACCTCCTTTCCTGACTTCTTTTTTAAAAAAATATTTATATATTTATTTGGCAGCACCAGATCTTAGTTGTAGCACGCAGGATCTTTAGTTGCAGCATGTGGGCTCTCTTAGTTGCAGCATGTGGGATCTATTTCTCTTACCAGGGATTGAACTCAGACCCCCAGCATTGGGAACACAGAGTCTTAACCACTGGACCACCAGAGAAGTCCCTTTCCTTACTTCTTTTGGATTAACTGAACATTGTTTTGAATTTCATTTTAATTCTTAACATTTAACTACATCTCTTTGCATTAATTTTTAGAGATTGCACTAAGGATTGCAGTATACATCTTTAACTTTTTAGTCTATATGAAGTTAACACAGTACCACTTCATGTAAAGCAGAAATCTTGAAACCCTTCTTTCTCACCCCTGCCCTGTCCCAGAAGCACTTTTATACTGACCCAGTAGGATATTCTACCTATCCTATAATTTCGTTAGAAGCACTCTGAATTCCTTCCCCAATACTTCTTGTGGAAAATAACCCAGAACTCATCATTAGTAACAACAAAGCAACAAAGAAGTTTTCTTAATATCTTCTTGGTAAAGAAGACTCTCATGAGTTTATTCTGCTTATCTTTAAACTTGCCTGTTTCAGACTGATTGAATGAAGCCTCAGAGCAGTTTAGGGTAGGGAAGTGGTTTAAAATTTTTTAGCAACTACATATTTGCCAGACCTTTTACATATCTCATTTAATCCTAAAAACTGCAGCAGATGCTATTACCAATTTAACAGATAAACCTCATCCCTGAGCATCAGATCCCTGTCAACTTTTCAATGCGTCCAGACTTGACCACTGTATTTAAAATTGCAACTCACTCAGCACTACCCATGTTAAGATTCCCCTTGCCTTTTTTTCCCCCACAGCACTTTACACCTTCCAATATATTATATAATTCACTTATTTGTTATTCTTATTATCTCCCTCTCTAGAAAGTAAGCTCCTTGAGGGTAGGGTTCTTTGTGTTTTTTTCACTGATATATTCAAGCACTTAGAACAGCGCCTGGCACGTATTAGTAGCTCTTTACATATTGTTGAATGAATGACTATTCCTCATTTTACCTGGGTGTTTCACAGGCGTCTCATACTCCATCCTCCAGTATTCCCTATGAGCCATCATTCATCCAACCAGGTACTCAAATCAGAAATACTCCTGTGCCCCTTCACAATCTTATGTTCACTCATTAATTTATTCTTTGAACAAATATTTTGAGCATCTGCTATGACTGGGCAAAATTCTAGACACTAGAGTTTCAACAATAAACAAAGCTAAAATCCCTATCCCTTGACTCTCCCACCGAAGCTTTGTATTGGGGGAATTAGACAATAAACAAGTACATCTGTCAAATGCTGAGGAAAAAAATAAAGCAGGGTAAGAAGGATAGGGAGGGTTTATATAAGGTGAGCAAGAAGGATCTCTCTGATAAGGAGACTTAAGCAGAGACCTGAGGAAAATGAAGGGACAAGTTGTATATATATATGGGGAGTGACTGTAGGCAGAGGCAATGGCAAATACAAACATCCTAGAGCAAGAGCATACCTGGCATGAGCTTGGGACAGCAAAAAAGCCAGTGTGGCCTTTTTTCTCTCAGTGTTTTGTTTTGCATAGTTGCTATATCTGCTGTGAATCCTATACATTTTTTCATCCCAGACAATGTACCTTTCAACTCTAGAAGCTCAATGTGGGTTTTATATATGTCTCTACATAACTTTTTGAACATATGGAATAGTTATGCTATTTTATTATTTTTTTAAAAAAATATTTATTTGGCTGCACCAGGTCTTAGTTGTGGAATGTGGGGTCTTTTAGTTGTGGCATGGGAGATCTCTAGTTATGGCCTGTGGGATCTAGTTCCCTGACCAGGGATTGAACCTGGGCCCCTTGCATGGGTGCACGGAGTGTTAGCCCACTGGACGACCAGGGAAGTCCCCAGTTATGCTATTTTAATGTTCTCTGCTAATTGTTGGTTCTGGGTTGGTTTCAGTTGATTGATTTTTCTCCTCTTTATGGGTGGTGTTTTCTTCTTTCTCTGCACACATGGTAATTTTTGATTGGATACCAGATATTATGAGTTTTATTTTGTTGGGTGCTTTTTTTCCCCTCTGGCTTGGGTATGTAGTTATCTCACACACATGCACTGATCAGTACTCTACAGATTACTCCAGGGGCACTGTCCTCAGATCTCCAATGTTCTCTCTGTGTGCAACTCTTTCCTCTCAGGAACTCTGTCCTACACAAGGTAACAACAGCTCACTGCCGGTGGAATCTGAAGCCTGTGATGCTGTGCGATAACAAAAACAAGACGGAAACCCAACTCAAGTTCTTCTAAGATTGACTCAACCTCCCATGCCTGCCTGAGAGGCATAAATTTACACCAAGGCATAAATACTCTTTACCTCAGGTTCTGTTTTTTTCTACACAGTAAGTGGAATTCAATATTATGAGACTCAGGAAAAAAAAAAAGCCCTAGTCAGCAGATGAAGCAATTAATGGAACTAGACTCAGAGTTGACCCAGATATTGGGATTATCAGTTAGGGACTAAAATATCTATAATATATTAAAGGATACAGTAAAAAAGGTGGACAACATGCACTGATACACAGGGAATTTCAGCAGAGATGAAAACTACAAAAAAGAGATAAATGGAAATGCTAGAAATAAAAAACATAATGTCAGAGATAAAATTTCAACAGTTTCATTAGTAGAATGGACAAAGATGAGGAAAGCCTCAAGGAACTTGAAGATAGGTAAAAAGAAACTATTCAGTTTGAAACACACGGAAAATTTTTTTTTTAAAAAGTGTAAAAAACAAAACAAAAACTAAGAAACCACCAAAAACAGAGCATCCAGGAGTTGTGGGACAATGACAAGACAATCTGATGTACATGTAATAGAAGCCCCAGAAGCAGGAAGCAAGAGACAGCAGGGCAGAAGAAATATTTGAAGAGATAACGGCAAAGAACATTACAGAAATAGTAACAAAATATCAAACCACAGATCCAACAAATGGGGTCCAATGGGCTGCTGCTGGTCAGCCTCAGTGCCAGCTACGTAAAACCAAAAGCAGATGTGGTCAGTCTTCAGAGGCCAGAACTCAGAACAGTCCTCACGACTCTGGCCAATCCTCCGCTTAATGAACCTCACTACGTTTTTACTAACCTTTGGGTCTGGTCTGCCAGGTGAGAGCCTACAGACTGGCAGATTAAAGACACCTCTCTTTGTCCCTTAAACTTACGCAAATTGCTCAGCCTCCCTCGTAGTTAAAAGAATAAATATTAAAATTAGATACTTATATTGACAAAATATGGAAAGCTTAGCAATATCTAGTACTGGCCAGGAATGGATGCAAAGTTATTCTCAAACGCTGGATGGAATGGAAATTGGTTCTTCTTGAAAGGCAACTTGACTGAAAGTGCACACACACCCCCAATGATCCCACTTCTAAACAGCTACTGAAGAGAAATAAACATATATATGAGGCATGTACTACTAGCATGTTTGTGAAAATGAGGGTAACCCTCCATTAAATTTTACCTGGGCCCTCTGTCCCATTACCTACCATTATATTTCTTTACACTTCCCACCAAGCTTTTGGAATCTATACTTATACCTGTCATCTTTGATTTTTTTCCCTAAGATTGCACTGAAACTTTTTTCAAAGGGTCACCATAAATATTAAAAGTAATGTCCTGTTACCAATCTTCATCTTTTTCTATCACTATACAACAGTCAACACAGATTGAAATCACATTTACTTGTCCACCATATGCTTTCACATATTCACATACAGGCATACCTCAGAGACGTTGCAGACTTGGTTCCAGACCATTGGCAATAAAGCTAAGATCGCAATAAAGTGAGTCACACAAATATTCTGGTTTCCCAGGACATCTGCAAGTTATGTTTCTACTGTCGTTTATTAAGTGTGCAGTAGCATTGTGTTTTTAAAAAATGTACATACCTTAATTTAAAAATGCCGTCATCATCTGAACCTTCAGCAAGTCATAATCTCTTTGCAATGGTAACATCAAAGATCACTGTTCACAGATGACCACAACAAATACAATAATGGAAAAGTTTGAAATATTGCAAGAATTACCAAAATGTGACACAGAGACACAAAATGAGCGAATACTGTTGGAAAAATGGTGCCGACAGACCTGCTCAACACAAGGGTTATCACAAACCTTCGATTTGTAAAAAATGCACTATTTGCAAAGCACAATAAAATGAGGTACGCCTGTATAATATTTCACAGATAGCACATACGACCTCATAAAAACCCACTGAAATAGATGGTATCAATCCTGTCTTATAGATGAGGAAACAAACTCGGAGCACCTTGCCCAAGATCACAAATAATAATTCAGGAAAAGTACCTAAGTGCAAGTTAAGTGCTCATCCTACTAATGGCTGGTCCTGGAATTTTCTTCTACTGGTTCCTTTACAATTCTTGGTTGATTATTTAACAAAACCAAAGACCAAGATTAATTAGTATAAGGCGCAGCATACTCAGAAACCAAGTAATCATATTAGAAGCATATAAAAATAGGCTAATCCAAGGGTTCAAAAGTATTATGTGTTCAATTAAAATTCCCATGTCTATGGTTATGAGTAATTTGGATGGAAACAACCAAGCAAATATTGTTTCATAGCAATTGGCAGACTTTAATATTCAAGAAAAATTAAGTCCATCATACACATTAAAAATATAGGAAATTTCATGCAGACATGAAGCTTCCGATTAAGCCTTTGTGGCAACTTTTAGAATGAGAGTTACCTATAAATACAGTATATTTTACAGTTCCCAAACTTCGTAATTTTATACTGTGATTTATACAGCTTCTCTTTATATTTTACATATCCCATCTTGCTCACTTGATTAATATACCCTAGCCTGCATTGCTTCAGATTATGTAAATTTAATAAAAAACAACAACAAAAGCAAGCACAGTGACCTATCTCCTCCCACTTGATGAAAATGAATGAAAACATTTGTGTATAGAGTTATTTAAGAAAAATGTTTTAAACTTTAAGGCTTACACACTTTAGTAGCTATTTATACACATAAGAAATACAAAATTAAATCCTCCAGTGACACCTCTATTATTGATTGATACCACAATTTTCAAGTTTAGAATATATTAACTACAAAAGCTATAAGAAAAAGAGTGATGCAAATTTGTGAAGTACGTTTAAAAAACAGTATTCATAATATGAGGGAGAAATTAGAAACAAATGAAATGATTTCAGAATTAACTAAAATATAAGCTATAATTTAGAAATATAAGTAACATTATTAAAGAATAAAACCTGATAGCAAAAATTTTAAGTAATAATGCCAACCCATTGGTGTCAACCTGTTTTTCCCTCTGAGAAAACCAAGATCGTTTGTTTTGATACAAGTTGTAAAAAAGTGAATATCAATCAGTGAATAAAAAGCATTTCTAAATTACAAACAGCATGATTCCTTTCCTTTCAATGGCTTTTTAAAAATACTTATGCTCCTTTTAAGTTTCTTTCTTTAAAAGAAAATAATAAATTTGGGGGCTTTTTCCCCTTGCAATTAATTTCAAGTTCATCCATGTGGTAGGTAAGAAGAATTCCCACTAAGTGAATATCTGCCAAGTACTGAGGAACACAAAAAAGAGAAACAGTTTTTCAGAAATACTCAACAGGTTACATACACGTGTCCATAACTTGACAAATCAAATTAACTTCACGGAATCCTTCACTGCATCATGGGCATAAAGGCCACAGGAGCTCCTGTAGTGTATGCAGAAAAGGTCCCACTGGTAAGATGCCAAATCGCGTAGTGACTCCCCCGCACCTAACTGACAGTAAAGGTCTAAAGATTTCTAAGTAAGTTTTCCTATGAAAACATGACATTTATGCTACCAGCACATTACTGAGATTAAGTCTATCTAATCCAAATTGCCACAGAGGTCACTTAATATCATCACAATCATCTGTGAAAATATTCCATATAACTTCCTTTTCTCCAAGAAAAGGTTAAATTAGTCATCTCTACTTATCAAGCTACTGGAAAACAGGATAATAAACATTAAAAAAATACAAAGGAAAACTCCCTCCAATAAAGATCCGCTAGAGGTAGAAGTTTAAAGCAGCATATATACTGTTTTAGCTACAGCTATCAGGGAACAAAATTGGTATTAATCTGAAATTATATTAATGGCTGCTTCTTACAATATTAAAGACACAGACCATGGCAGTAATTTATCCCTAAATTTCATAATCAAAATTTCTCCACATTAATACTATCATGACAGTTTTTACTAGTATATAATTGTTTTAACGGAAAAAAAAGTGCTTGCTTTTGTAATTCATGTAACCCAAAGAAAAGACATTATTGTAAACATCTCACTGACAAACTCTGTATTCATTTATAGTTTGAAATCATACATTTCAAATGGGCAGATTTTATTCTTATGTCCCCAGTTTCCGAGCAGTACCTTTAATAAAGGCTTTTGTGCCTCACTTAGAATGTTGAGATCTCATACATTTCAGAGTGATCCATGATGAGTATGCTTTCAAAAAGCGTTCAATTTAGTGTGTCCAAAATACTTAATTTCTCAGTTATTTAAAATGCATTTTACTGGCCTGTGATCCTATGAATTCAGCACTTCATAAAAATGAAATGTTTGATGCTAACTATAAAGTCAGCTGAGCTAGAAAATAAAATCAAATAATCTGAATGATAAAAGAATAGATGCACATTTTATCTACAGATTCCTTAGGTCCAAAGTAAACAAAATTCCCAATTCCAGATGTTGAAAGTGACAGAGGATCCTTAGACTTTTTAAAAAATAACATGTGCAATGCATACAAAAGAACAAAAAAGGAGATTATTATGGACTTCAATACTATTAGTCATTCATATGGCAGACTTGCAATGGACAGCTTCATGAAGACACTGGAGACAAAGTCTTTTCTACTGAAAGATAATTCTGGGCTTCAAGGAAAATGTATATTTGAAGATACTGGAGATAAAGTTTTTTCTACTGAAAGATAATTCTGGGCTTCAAGGAAGATGTATACTTGAAGACATTTCCTCCATTTTTACTTGTGTAGTACAAATATGCATGGCATAGTATGTTTCTGAAAAAGCAATAGACATATTAAGAAAATAGACGCTATTTCTTAATTTTGTTAGGAATAAGAAGGCACCACTGACTTGAGGTTGTGTCCTGTCATTGTGATAGTTGACTTTGAGTTGTTTATTTCAGCATCTGCTATTATTAAACTTTTTTCCTTGTGATACCACTTGAGACCGTTATTGTGGTTTACGGACCACAAACAAGACACATTCATAGTAGTACTTCATCATGGAGAGATCATTCACAGTATATGTTGACAAGACAGATTCTTTTTCCACCTGAAATGCAAACAATAATCATAATGATGATGATGATGACAACCATGGTGCTATTTTAAACATATTCTGTATATTAATTCATTTATTACACACAAGTACCCCCTAAGATTGGCACTATTAGTAATCCCACTTTACCAACAACAGTTTTGCTCAAGGTCACACCGCTAATAAGTGGTGGAACTGGAATTCACACTCAAGAAGTCTAATTCCAGAGCTTGAACTCTAAACTACTATAATATGTTGCTTTTCTTTATCTTTAAGAACAAACCTGTTATTTACTTTTTAAATGAATCAAATGCTTCTAAATAAACATACAACTAAAACACAATAGTCAAAGTATCATGAAACCTTATAATCACATGATAAGGAGAGACTGAACAGTACAAAAGTACATACAGTTAACAATATCCCTCTTACACCTGCCCTCCCACCCTGTCTACCTGGTACTTTTCAGTCTGCAAAGGCCAATATTATAATGGTCAGCTACCACTTATTGAAAGGTGATTACACCAGAGATTACAGTTTTCCATTTACATACATATTATCTCAAATCCTTATAGTTCTAAAAGCTAAGTATTATTATTTTCACTTTATGGGTGAGAAAACAAAGAGGTTAAGAGGTAAAGCCAGTAACTACCGTAACATCACCATTCCTGTTTAAGTGCTTTGGAAGTTAAATTTTGGCAATACTTCATTCCATCCTTACCTCTACCTGGAATCCATACTGCAGGACAACGTTTTTTATATCCTCATAGCTCAATTCTATGGAAAGTTCATTTGCCAAATTTTCAAAGTGGTATAGCAGAGGACCTATGGTTTAAAGATACTATGAATGAACTACTTAAATATAAACATGCACTAGTAGCCGTTTAAACTGAACTCCAAGTTGAGAAATAAGTTGGGTAGAGGATGAAACGTAAAAAGGAGAGGTAAAGAACCATTACATTTGCCAAGGACAAGTATCCAGACCACTGAAACTTTGGCCAAGTAACTGCCATTTGAGTGCTGGGCCTACATTCATGGGGAGCAAGACCCTCTGGTATAACCGCCTTGCACTGTGATTCTCCACATCATGGGCCTTACACCTGTAACTCTTAAGGTCCTGAAGGAGTAGCTGAATCACAGAATGCCTAGTCCCCAAAATGCAAGGGTATACTGTAATTATAATTCCATAAGTAAATGCAAAACTGCAGTTACAAACTGAGTATCGCGTGAAAACAGAGAAGAGTCCTCAAGCCAGACTGGGAAGGAAAAATGCAGGGGTAAGGGGGGTTGGAGAGTTATAGGCTGGGCTTCCTAGAAGGAAAAGGTGATACGAGAGCTGGCTTTTTTTTTCCCCCGCTTCTTTTTTGGCAGCACCTTGTGGCTTGCAGGATCTTAGTTCCCTGACCAGGGATGGAACCCAGGCTACCACAGTGAAAGCACTGAGTCCTAACCACTTGACCGCCTTGTGCTCGCTTTTTAAGAGCACAGTTCATATCCCAGCTCTAACACCAACTAATTGTGTGCCTATGAACAAGTCACTAACTCTGTCCCATCTGTAACATGACTTTAACGTGAGATAACACACCTGGCATATTGTAGGCACTAAGCTCATCAAAGCTATTACAACTTCTTAAAATGACATTCCCCCTTTACTATTCTCTCACTCCAGATATCCAAGGAACTATCACCTGACTCAAACCAAATTTTCCAATCTTTTAGTCTCACATTTTGCCCAATCTATCGGCTTTATCCAGGTAACATTATCATTCCAAAGTTATACTAAAGGATTAATCTAGACAATCGTCTCTGCACCTTTCATTGGGTTAATTATAAATCCTGAGACCAACTCACCACCCACACCCCATCCCCACTGCTCACACCATGTGCTAATAATCACAAGAGATAAAAGTAACAAACAAGACAAAGTTTCTGCTCCCAAACTGCTCACCACTCTGTGGAACATACTTACTTAGGGTTAAAAGGTTTTTCTTCTTCTCTTTTTTATTGTACATAAACCACTAGAAAAAAATAACTATAATTTATATATTAGTGCTCTTTTCAAAAGATAACAATGACTCCCCACCAAACTACTCACTCTATCAAGCTTCAATTCCTTTTAGCTGGATTAGTACTAGTAAAAATGAAAGATGCTACCATTTACTGAGCACCTATTGTATCCAAGATCATCCCAAAGCTTTTGAAGCCTTTTATTAAAGAACGCAGAGCCTCATAGCAAAGTCTTTCCAGCTCTAAAGCATATGCTGTTCCTTCTCTGTTATTTTAAGAACCTCCAACAATATTGTTTTATTATATCTACATAAACACATTCCTAGGCCAGATTTTACTTCTACGTATGTTTTATTCCATTACAAGCTATATGTCTTAGGTTTCTTTTGAATCCACCATAATGCCCAGCATAGCACTGAATGTACAGTTAAGCATCTGTAACTTTACCACCCAAAGACAGCCATTACAATTGCGCTGTATTTTTCAGTCTCCTATCACAAATGGTACTTCAACAAATAGCTCTGTGTATATTTCAGATTCTCCCTTACAAAGACATTCCTTGAAGTGAAATTTCCAGGTCAAAGAGAATAAACAGGGCTTCCCTGGGGGCGCAGCGGTTAAGAATCCGCCTGCCAATGCAGGGGACACGGTTCGATCCCTAGTCTCGGAAGATTGCACAGGCCGCGGAGCAACTGAGACCATGCACCACAACTACTGAGCTTGCACTCTAGAGTTCGTGAGCCACAACTACTGAGCCTGCATGCCACAACTACTGAAGCCCACGGACCTAGAGCCCGTGCTCTGCAACAAGAGAGGCCACTGCAATGAGAAGCCTGTGCACTGCAATGAAGAGTAGCCCCCGCTCACCGCAACTAGAGCAAGCCCAAGCGTAGCAACGAAGATCCAACGCAGCCAAAACTAAATTTATTAAATAAATAAATAAAATAAAACAAAGAGAATAAACATTTTTACTGACTTGATTCAAACTGCCAAAATGCTTTCCAAAGGAGTTAATAACAGTTTTCACTCACAATTGCAATGGTAAGTACTTGTTTTAACACCTTACTTAGGAAGTGGTGGGAATGCAATGGTACAGTCACTCTGGAAAACTGGTTGGCAGTTTCTTGTAAAGTCTTACATACATGCACCATATATGACCCAGTAATTCCACCAGTAGGTACTTATCCAAGAGAAATGAAAACTTGTGGCTACAAGATTTGTACTCAAGTGTTTATAGCAACTTTATTCATAATCATAATTTGGGAACAACCCATATGTCCATCAACCAGTGAAAGAATAAACAATGTAGTATATCCATACAGTGAAATATTACTCAGCAATAAAAAAGAAAAAAGCTACTGGTATATGCAACAAAATGGATGAATTTCAAAAGCATTATGCTAAGAGAAGAAAGCCAGACACAAAAAGCAACTTACTGTATGATTCTATTAATATGGTATTCTGGAAAAGGGAGAACTATAGTAACATAAAACAGAGAACTGCCAGGTATTAAGGATGAGAAAACTGACTACAAAGCGGCACAAGAGACCTTTTGGGGACGATAGAAATGTTCCCTATCTTGACAGAGGTAACAGTTACATGATTATCCAGCTTTCAAAATGCATCAAACTGTACACTTAAAAAAAAAAGGGTGAATTTATTATATGTCAACTATACCCCTCCCAAATCTAACTTAAAAAGAAAAAACACAATAAGTATTTGCTAATTTGGCAAGAGGAAAATGATAGGCCAGACATGATTTCATCTGCATTTCCTTGAGGCTGAGCAGTTTTTCACATTTATTACCTGGTTGCTCATTCTTTAAATGAATGTTTACCAAGCACCTAGCAAATACCTGGCACTGGATATATAAAGATGAATAAAACACTGCCACACTCCTCAAGGAGTTCTTTATTTTCTCAACTCGCGTGTCTCTTCACATCTTTTAATGGGAATAACAGAAGAAGCAAAGAAATATTTTTTCCTTGACCATAAGTATAAAGCAAGCTCAGTAAGAGAAAGCTAAAATAACATGAAATTTCATAAAAATAAAATCAAACCAATGAGTAATCCTAACACTCAGAGAGAACCACTTGAAAACTTAATGTATCTCCTTGCAGTCTTTCCTTGATGCATTAGCATGAGATATTACGTATGTAGTTTTGCATCTTACACTTCATTAGGAACATTTCACTATTTTATTGATTATTTCTGGAGAATGGTTTTACTATGTGGCTATCCTATGACTATTTACTATGTGGCTATCCTATGACTATCCATTCCATTACTGTTAGAAATGTAGGTTCAGTCTAAGTTTTCACTCAGTGAGTATGTCCATTAATTGGTCTTTAGTCTTCACCCATATCTAATTATTTCGCTCTGACAGACTTCTACAAGTATAATTAACCTAACACATATACGTAATACTGAATGCAATTATGTAATAGGTTAGATAGCAAGGCAAATATTTGAGGCTTTGCGGGCCACATACAATCTCAACCACACATTCTTATTTGTGTGTCCCCCTACCCCAACGCTTTAAAAAATGTAAAAAATACTCTTAGCTGGTGGGCCATAAATAGGCGGCTGGCCAAATTTGGCCTGTGGGTGATAGTTTGCCAAACCCTGACCAGTGTATGAATTGTTAAGATTTTATCATACATTATCAAAATGTTTTCTTCTTGAATAAAGTTTTATTACTATACTCCCACTAGCAGTACATAAGCACACCCTATCTCACTGTACCTTATCTAAACATCAAGCAAAAAATTTAAAAATCTACCCAATATGATACGTGAAAAATGGCATCTCATGTATATTTATTTGATTAGCAAGGAAGGTGAACATTTTTCCCCCTGTATATAGGTCATTTACATTTACTCTTTTATAACTTATACATTTATGTTGTCTGTCTATTTCACTTCTGAGTAGGTTTCTCTTAAAGACTTTTACTTTTTTTTCCCTTTCCAATGTTTTTCTAATTAAAAAATATAGAGCTCATTGCAAAAATACAAAAACATATAAAGGAACTTCTGCTTCCTGTAAAGGCAGGTTAGGTTATTCAGACCAGTGTTTCTACTGAAAACAACTAAAATTGGCGTATATATTTTTTAAAATCTTAAAAATAAAGAATACATGGCAAGTTACTAAGAAACTACCAGGAGCCCAGAGGATTAACCAGAGGTAAAGCTAGATGCCATTTTTTTTACCCTGAGGGTATTTGACTATCCATATGAAATGGGCCTGCAATTTAACAAACTCTTTTGGCCAGGGTGATAAAAAGACAAAACTCTGAGCCTACCCAAGGTAGGTCTGACAGATCACCCAACATTATATTTGGAATCTTACAGGCTATCTTCTTTTTCTTTTTTTTTAAAAAATTTTTTTAAACATCTTTATTGGAGTATAATTGCTTTACAATGCTGTGTTAGTTTCTGCTGTATAACAAAGTGAATCAGCTATACATATATATATATATCCCCATATCCCCTCCCTCTTGAGTCTCCCTCCCACCCTCCCTATCCCACCCCCCTAGGTGGTCACAAAGCACCGAGCTGATCTCCCTGTGCTATGTGGCTGCTTCCCACTAGCTATCTATTTTACATTTGGTAGTGTATATATGTATGTCCATGCCACTCTCTCACTTTGTCTTATGGGCTATCTTTAAGGTAAGAAATAAGTAAATTGAATTCTATCCTTTAACCTGGGGGTGGGGGAGGAAGGGGGTTGCAAGAAAAGCTGACCTAGTGCTTACTAAACAGGGGGGAAAAAAGAGAAAAAAAATAATTTTGGAGAGATATTGTAAATCACGCTTTAGC